ACCGAGTTTCAACAGCTTGTTGAGCTGCAGGTTGCACCGCCACCGACGCCGTCTGCAAGCAGCCACAGAAGGAGCTTCTCTTTCTTCCGAAGAAAGTCGATGGGTGACAGCAGAGAGGCTGAGAAGGCAGCTGCAAATATTGCGATTGAAGCTGGTTATCTGGAACACATTGCCATCTCGATTGGCACTTCTCCCTATGCTGCTGTGACGCCAGAGCTCCCAAAGCAGACTGTGGCTTCTGCAGCCTCTCCACATCGACTTGGCGCCACAGTTCCGCGGTCAAAGTCAATGGTCAACATGGATAGTAAGGCTGCTGCTGAGTTTGCTCGCGCGCACAGTAGGGATCTTGCTGCTTCAAGAGAGGGGATGCCACAGCAGCGACGTAAAAGCTTTCACAGCTTGAAGGTGGAAGCCGGTGAGGCCAGGGCAATGAGGCATCGCCCACAGAATTTTGATGTTCCGCCTGTTCCGTCTATCGACATGGCCAAGCTGTCGGGTCCAAATACTGCTACGCAGCAATCAAAGAGGCACAGTATAGCATCGTTTGGGCCAAATGCCGGCTTCCGTCCTCATGGTCACCAGCGCAGTCATACAGCTCATCAGCTAGCGACTAAGAGCACTGTAAGCCTGCAGAAGACTTCGCAGCAGAGCATGCAATGGGAGGCTCCCTCGAGGCCGCAGGCACAGCGTCGCAAGACGATTGGCGAAGGCATGCGTTCTATGGATGCAGTTGCTGTGACCAGCAGCAAACGCGCTTCTGTAGGGCCGGGGGTCAAAGTACAGGGAGCAGAGAATCCGGCAGCGTGGGGTCGATACAGTGGTGGTTTGGCATATGACTACGAGGGCCGTGGCGTAGGCGTTGGAGGCAGCGCAGGTACACGACAAGTGCACAGCTGCGCGTCGATCAAGTCGCTGCACTACCAGCACCAGTATGGAGTGGACCTTTCCGATGTGCCCATCATGGTGCAGCGCCTCTAAAAAAAGTTGACGTTTGACGTTGAATGGAAGATTGGATCTTTGTTTTGGGGTTAATTTTGGGCGGTTTGGCCTGGCGGCGGCGTTGCATTTTACGATTGGCCAGCGTCTGGATTCAGCGCAAACGGGCACACACACACACACACACACATACATAACGCACATGCATGCAGAGCGGCATTTTGGATTTAGGAGGGGCTCCTGGCGTTTTCCCTGTTTTTTAGTTTTAGTACATGAGTAGCTATGAGCAGGCTGCATGGCCGCGGCGGTAGCGGCGACAGGACGGAATAAATATACATGTAATGGATGCTCTGCCACGCGGCAGGTCGAAAGAAGATGGCTGTTGTCTCGTGTTGGACGTGTAATCAAAATTGCTGCGTAAGCGACGGGGGTGTGGGTGTGTGTGTGTCGATGCCCAAGATGCGGCTTTTTTTTCTTCGTTTCTTTTGCGCGCCCTTTTGCTGCGAACTGGTGGTGCTCAGCCTCAGCATGGCTCGCAGTCGCCCATCAGCCGGTCAGGCACGGGGGCAGACGTGCATAGACCGCAAGTGATGTCAGAAGCGGGTGCTAGTGGCTGCGCGTCTTTGGGCGGCGCAGGGATGCTAAGTCATGTTCGGAGACTCCAGCACCACAACCGAATGCGCGAAATTTCATCTTACCACCTCCCCGCCATCGCCTCCCTTCCCTCTTCCACCCCCCTCTACTCCCCCATTCACCGCCTCTTCAGACCTCGCTGCCCATCAAGCGACCGTGTCTGCACCCTCGTAGCTGCCCATCGCCGCCCCTCGACAGCCTTTGGTCGCGTCAAAGGCTCCCATCTCACTACGGCCTCGGCCCTGATCCTGCTCAACCTTCAAGTTGTATCTGCCCGACCAGCGCCACACGTTTTCAACAACATCCCCCCTCCCCGTCTTGTCGCCATCTAAGAAGGAGCTTGAGCGTCTTTTCTTTTTGTCTCCTACCCAGACCCTCGACCAGCCTCAACTTCAGCTGCCGCATAGGACGCCATCAGCGGTTCTTCCTCTTGCTGAGGAAGCGGCCAGACCTCGCCCAACACCAAGCCTCGGCTTCGCACCCTTCAAGCCACCCTAACGCGGGATTTCCATCCAGCCAGTAACCTATACCAAAGCCACTACTCAACTTCCAGAAGCTACCATCAAGGGCATGGCACCTTCTGCTATCACACCTACTGAAGAGTACCAATTCCCGTTGAAAGACATAGCGTCCTTCAGCACCTATCCATCTGGTAGTGTCGACAATCATGGCGCCTGGAAATCCAAGCAGTTGATTGGGGAGGCTCTCAAGAGCCGTGTTGAGGCTATTGATCCTGATACCTGCAGTGTTGGCGAGGAAGATGCCTTCTTCGTTGCCGACCTGGGCGAGGTCTACCGTCAGCATATGCGCTGGAAGAAGAATCTAAGCCGTGTGAAGCCGCACTATGGTAAGCTTAAACAAAGACTACCCTTTGCACAAACAATTGTGACTGACAAATGAATAGCTGTCAAGTGCAACCCTGACCCCCAGGTCCTCCGTCTCATGACGGAGCTGGGTCTCGGCTTCGACTGTGCTTCGAAGAACGAGATTGAGACCGTTCTCAAGTTGGGCGTTGACCCTTCTCGCATCATCTATGCGCAGCCCTGCAAGACCAAGTCTTACTTGCGTTACGCTGCTCAGTCTGGCGTCAAGCAAATGACCTTTGACAACGCCGATGAGCTCTACAAGACCAAGCAACTCTTCCCAGACGCCGAACTTTATCTGCGAATCTTGACTGATGACTCAGCTAGCCTGTGCCGTCTCAGTCAGAAGTTCGGTGCTGCTCTGGACACCACTGGTGAGCTCCTGGAGCTGGCCAAGAAGTTGGAGCTCAACGTTGTCGGAGTGGCCTTCCACGTCGGATCCGGAGCATCCGACCCCAAGGCCTTTGTCAAGGCTGTCCAGGATGCCCGGTTTGTCTTTGAGCAGGCAGACGCGCTTGGTTTTAACATGCACACCCTTGACGTTGGCGGCGGTTTCACGGGCGATGTCACTTTCGAGCCCATGGCCGCAGTCTTGTCCGCAGCCTTGGACCAGTACTTCCCACCCCACATCCGCGTTATTGGAGAGCCTGGACGCTACTACGTCTCCACTGCCTTTACCATTGCGTGCCACGTCATTGCTCGTCGCACCGTCACCGATGCCACCCTGGGCACTACTTCGTATATGCTGTACCTGAACGATGGTGTCTACGGAAACTTCTCGAGCATCATCTTCGACCACCAGCACCCCGTGCCGCGTGTCTTGAAGAACGGCAACAACGTCTTGTACGATGTGCGTCGCTCAGGATATGACAGCCCTTCTCAGGTTGAGTACTCCATCTGGGGTCCAACCTGCGATGGCATCGACGTTGTTTCCTCTTCTTGCAACTTCCCGGAGCTGCTTGATGTTGGCGACTGGCTCTACTTTGAGGAGATGGGTGCGTACACCAAGTGCTCCGCTACCCGTTTCAACGGCTTCAGCGACAGCCACGAAGTCGTTTACGTCTGTAGCGAGCCTGGCGCTGCTGCTCTCATGGACATGTAAATGTTGGTGAGGAAGGGTAATCAGGAAGGATGTAAGGCAGTTTTGTACAGGAGATGAGTGTTGAGAAGTGATAGTGGAAATTGTCTTTTTAAAAAGTTTGATAGATCTCTTTATATGGTATATTTGCTTTTGAATGGTTGTTCCCGGGTGTGACTCTGCTGGTAGTGATTTTCTAATACTCTTATTGTTCTTCATTACCTATATGTCTTCGTCGTGTTAACAAGGTAGTCTCGGTCACCATATAAGTCGAAACTAATCTGCAAAACAAGGACATTGATCGGCGCTACTTTTCTCAAGCCCTTCCCCTCCATCCGTCCAAGTTTACGAGTACCAGAAATGACATCACGCTAGTTAGTGAGCTAGACTAGTGCCGTGCCCAAGGTCCCCCCCAACCGCGCCCAATGGTTTGTGTGGTCCCACAACAACCCTCGACCCGAAACCAACCCTTTTTACACTCTCACTCCCTCAACCCGTTGAACTCTGTTCAACATATGCCCCCTTCCCCCCCTTCCCCCCGCACCGCACCGTTTATATGGAGAACAAAAACGCAAATCGAAATGGTCGGGGTCGGGAGTTAGTGGGATAAACCCCTCCCCGCCTCGCAAACCTCCTTTTTGGAGCCAATCAACGTTATTGTTACTAACGGGTGAAAATCGTTGGTCTTTTTGACTTATCTCTGTGCAGGTAGCGAGGTATATCCCGACTAGTAGTACACATCTGCCTTACTTTACTTTGCTCTGCTCTGCTCTGCTCAGCGCTGCTTCATCCAACAGAACGGAGCGAAGATGTATGATTATAAATGTAAGTCTGATAACATTTCCTTTCAAGTATATATGAATTTCTGTTTCGTTTAAAAAACGATGAAATCAGCAATGATGACAAATAGGTTTAGCAAAAGAAAAATTGCTTTTCCTTTCGTTCAGATACTGCGTAGTAGATAACCCTTCCTCTTGCGCTAATCTTTTTGGTCGCTGGGGTTGTGGTTGTTGGTGTGCGAGAATTGTAAGGTTATGGTCTGAGTTGATTTTTGAGATTTATCTTTACATTTGTTTTTTGAGGAGGGTTTTTTTTGGGGGGGGGGATGGTTTGCTGACTTTTGAGGGAGTAGGGTTTGACGTGATTATGTGGGGGGTTGGTCAAGAGACTGGGTGTGAGGCTATTGGGAGGAAAGAAAATGCGGACTGAGATTTTGAAGTTGTAGGTAACGGGAATTATGGATACTGATTCGTTCATGTAGGACTAACGTATTTGTACAATTTTGTTCCTTGAGAGTTTACAGGTGAACTTCTCGTTACATTCTCTAACATTATTCTCATATGAAATTAGAATAGAGAACCGGACAATTCCGTGGTACTGTAGCTGTCTGCAATACAATCACCAGTCTTTAAAAGTCACACACGCAGAAATCTCAAGATGATACATTGATTCATAGTACAAGCAAACATATCTCCATCTGCTATCTACATCTACCGCGCCTTCTCCTTATTCTCAGCAGCCCTCCTCTTCGCCCGCACCTCTGCCTTTCTCCTCTCACCACCATCAACCTTGTGTCCTCTCCTCTCTTCCCAAATACCCTCTTGCAGCCTTATCCTAGCACGAAGTCCTCCGCTTCCCTTGACAGGCTCCACAAAACTACCCTTGATAGTGCTGGCGCCCTTTACAACAACACCCTGGACTTTTGGCAGTGTCTCTACAGGCTCGGGAGGGCTCTCCGCACCAACAGGCACATTGACAACCAACTTCCTGGTCCCAGGATCGTGTGTCGCCGTTGCAGCCGCCGAGCGAGGACTTATGGTATTGCCGAGTTGCGGGTTCGGCGGCACAGGTGCCTCGACGACCTTCAGCTCGGCAACTCCATCTGTGACGTGCTTGCAGTCTCCGCCAATGCCGTATTCGCCGTTTCGAAACTTCTCGCGCCAGTGCAGCAGGTAGCGTCTTGCGCGGGCAGGCTCAACACCGAGTTCCTTCAGTTGCGGCGAGGTCAGTGTGAAGAGGGCTTCCCATGAGGGGATCTTTGTCGCGTGTGCTGAGAGGCCGCGGCCAATTGCGCTGAGGAAGGCCGTGTGGTCGGGGATAAAAGGTATCGGTTTGGGGACCGGGCGCATGGGAATTGAGTGTTGGAGGTTGCGCACGCATGTCTTTGGTATTGATACGGCAGCGGATGTCGCATTGAGAAGTGGGCGCCTGAGAATCATGGTGGCGGTATATTTTTGAGCGAAGCACCCTGTGATTTACTTTAGTAATGATCTTAGTAACAAGAGGGGGTCAATTGGGGGAGGGAGTGCCATACTGTGCAAATGTCCGCTGTCCTTGCTTTCCCTCCCAATTCGCGGTTCACGCTGGCTCTGCGGGCACCATGAACTTTTCGGAGAAGCCAAGAAAGACGCCCGTGCGCCGGGTGCATCGCAAGCCAGGGCATAGAGCCCCACGTCACCAAGGCTCCCTCAGCCCAAAGCTCCACAACCTCGACCAACACAACGCCCCCCCAATTGCAGTAGTAGAGAGTCTCCTATTGCAAACCCCTCTTTTCCACACCTCCTACCTACAATTTTCAAACAAAAAAAATCATGTCTGGCCCCGAAGTCCACCATCTCTTTCACTCTCCCATTGCGGATCACTCCTTCTCCGCTGATCGCCAAACACTTGCTGTTGCCCGCGAGAACAACGTCGACGTCTTCCAGAGGAGCGGCAGCGGATACAAGCTCAAGGATGAGCTAACGGGTCACGACAAGACAGTCACGGGCGTGGACATTGCACCAAACTCGGGCAAGATTGTGACTTGCTCGCAGGGTAAGTAGAGCTTGAAGCTACACTGTTGATGACATGTAGGCTAATTGGAACTGGACAGATCGCAATGCCTACGTATGGGAGCCTTCACCACAGGGCTGGAAGCCAACATTGGTCCTACTCCGAATCAACCGAGCCGCTACTTGTGTTCGCTGGGCCCCCTCCGAGACCAAGTTTGCTGTTGGATCGGGTGCTCGCTTGATCCCTGTGTGCTACTTTGAGGAGGAAGACAACTGGTGGGTTTCCAAGCATCTCAAGAAGCCTATCCGCTCTACCGTCACATGTGTCTCGTGGCACCCCAACTCGGTCTTGCTTGCGGCAGGCTCCACCGATGGACACGCTCGTGTGCTCTCTTCCTTTGTCAAGGGCGTTGACGAGCGTCCGGAGCCCTCAGCTTGGGGAGAGCGCCTGCCGTTCAACACTGTGTGTGGTGAATACTTGAACAGCACCGCAGGATGGATTCACAGCGTTGCCTTTTCTCCCTCGGGTAACGCCCTTGCCTTTGCCGCTCACGACAGCACCCTTACTGTCGTCTATCCCAGTGGCCCTGAGCAAGCTCCTCGCGCCATTGTCAGCGTTAGCACACAAGTACTGCCTTTCATGTCGCTCATCTGGAGCTCAGAGGATGAGATCATCGCTGCTGGGTACAACTGCGAGGCCTTCCGTCTCAAGGGCAACGAGTCTGGCTGGCAGCTGACTGGAAGTCTGGAGACCAAGAGCCGTCCTGGTCTGGCGGATCAGCGCGAGGAGAGCGCACTGAACATGTTTAGGCAGATGGATCTCAAGGGCAAGTCGGGCACGGATGACACCAAGCTCAAGACTGTGCACCAGAACACCATCAACACGATCCGCAGTTTTGAGGAGAGCGGAAGTGGAGTCAGCAAGATCAGTTCTACTGGCGTGGATGGAAGGATTGTCATTTGGACTCTGTAGATGTGTGAATTGCTTGCAGGCCATTGCTTAGGGATGCAAGGATCTAAATAAACAAGACTTTCATATTTCTGGTCTTACACAGTGTAGCCAAAGTGGAGTATATCTAATCGTGCTGCATGTAAGCAAATCTAGAATGCCAGAATGCCGCGATTCAAAGTTACGCCAAAAAAAAACAAATCATGAGCATGATACTCTGGTATTACGCAAATGCCGTTGTTCATCTCTTGGGAATGTGAGCGATTGTGAGCAGCAAAATGCAATAAAAGAAAAGAAGGCGAGAAAAGACAGAAAAATAACTAGAACAAGGCCGTTGATCAGGGACGTGCATTCAAACCAGGGAAGCAGGAAAAGAAACGAGAATAAAAAAAACGCCTTCCCGAGCCGCCCACCCGCTGGTTTTGTAGAGACTGTTGATATGCAATATTTTTCACATCTCAACCAAAGCCCGTGAAACCCTGGGTGTTGAACACATCAAGCGGTACCGGCTGAGCGGGCGTAGCGGCGGCCACACCCTGCGTCGTCTGGGCATCGTTGAGAAACCACGACCAATCCTGATCGATATCCATGGGCATATTCTGCCAGGAGAAGTTGTTGGTGGGGAGCGAGAAGTTATTCATGCCCTCGTTGTGCATCTGGGAGTCGAGAACCGAAGTGCCCGTTGTGGAACCATCGTCGGCGTTCAGGTTGTTCCAGTTGTAGAAGCCGTCGTAGGAGACGAAGGGTGAGGGGTCGAGGTTGAAGCCTGTGGCGCCCGTGGCGGTGGACATGGATGTCTTGGGTGTGACGTTGAGAGATTTGGAGGGCTGGGAGAAGATGTCCGAGGTGGCTGATGAGTGTCTGCCTGAAGGGGGAGTGTAGAGCTGATGCGACGTGCTGGGCGATCTGGAGCTCACTGTGGCGGGCGAGCGGCCTGAAGGTGTTGGACCTTTTACTAGCTGGCCGCCTCGCTTGATGGAGATGGTGCCAAAGTAGGGGATGACGAAACTTGAGGATCCGTTGCACAACTCGTCTATCTCGGTGCTTGTGCCCTTGAACCTGGCCATCATCTTCTCCAGGACCTCTGCGGATTGCGCGGCAACATTGCCTCCCTTTTCGCTCGAAGCGCGACGGAAGATATCAATGCAGGATTCAATCATGCGGACGTCTTCGTCAATCGATTTGGCGCTGGAGCTCGAGGCTGCCGACTGCGCAGGTGGTCCGCTGAGCAGGCCCATCAGCATAAGGACTGCGGCTGTGAATCCGAGAAAGTCAATAGCCTTGCACTCGTAGATCGGCGTTACCCCACCAGTTCGCAACACCTGGTAGAGGCGTAGAACCTCTCGTGAGCCGTTCAAAGTGACCGTGCGCGAGTAGGAGAAGCGCGAATTCGATGCTGACTTGAGCATAAACGGCAGGTGGAGGTATACGCGGATCTGATGGAAGACTATTTGGCCCATGATGCGCTCTCGTAATTCTACGGCATTCGATCCTACGTCGGCAAGAAGCCCAGTGAAGTCGAGCCAAGCTGGATCAAACTTCTTCCACAAATCGTCTAGCTCTTGGTCAAGTTGTAGCGCCCAAGCAAAAGACTGCTCGGCTACGCCTTGGTTGCGATCAATCACTTTGCCTGCAAGCTGTGAAAGTCTCGACATGCAGACCATGGGGTGCAAATATCTGGAGTCTCCCATGTCGGGCATTGTCAAGTCGCAGTGCGCGTCGATGATACCATATGGGAGACCGAGAAGAAGAGACAAGAAGCGGTCACCATGGTACAAGGCCCACCATATGCTTTCGTGGGCCACAGAGCCAGTACGCTTGCGGTGGAGTCCCTAATCCTCATCAGCAACAATGTGCATACTTCAATACCAATAAAACTCACCATAAGCTGTGCATACATCAGGCCCTTGCGGTACGCAATCCAAGCTCGCCGTGGCTGACCTACATCGGCGTACCACTTGGACTTCAGGACAAAACATTCCAACCCCTCGAGACTGGCAGCATATTCGTCGTCGCACAGGAACCACCTGTCAACAACCTCAAAATACCGTGACACCTGATCAGTGTCTTGTGAACAGATTCCAACTGACAAAACGACGGTGGCAATTGCTCCGACGTTTCCGGTGGCCAAAGCCTGCGCAACGAACTGAGGCAGCGTCTGCTCAGTCCCATGCGTTCTCATACACTTGCGGCGCCAAACATCCCACCAGTCACTGTTGGATTGGAGAATCTTGGTGAGTTGGTCAAAAGGAGGTAGCACGGCGATAAGTGCTTGTTTGGTTCTTTCTCGCTTGGCAGAGTTCATGAATGGGTTGCTATCGACAATGTCTTCGTCGTGCTGATTCTCTAAAGTATATCGCTCATCCTCTGCCTGGTCGGGCTTGGGCGTTGAGGATTGTTGCAGGGGATCGTTGTGGGCTTTTGCAAGGGCTTCAGCGTCATTGTTGAGCTGCCGGGCAAGTAAGTATCAGAAGCGCGCGAACGTATAGGAAGACAGCCTACCGCATCCTCAAAAACAGAAAGAATCGGTATGTGGTGGCCTTGTTTAGATATAGCGCGTTGGTTATGTGTAAATTTGAGCTGGTTGGATGGCGATTCAGAAGAAAGTGGTGTTGGGGGTAAAGTGTCCTTAGTGTAGACATTTGGCGCTTTTGGTGATGATATGTCGGCTATGCTTTGACTCCGGCTTTCCGACTTGACCGTCTTTTCTTCGAGCAAAGAGTCGACCAAAGCCTCTAGACGTGAGACCCTCTCACGAAGGTTCTTGCGGTGGTCGACAATGACATCTGGATTTGCATGTTCCTGGTCGATGCATCTGCTGCCGCGCGCAAAGCACTCGGAGCACACATCGGGATTGTCCGGCTGAAAGATGCACCTGATCTTGCGGCGGCGACCTGTAACTTTTGATCAGAATTTTCAACGAAAAAAACGGAAAAGCACGCAAATCATCAAAAAAATAAGGGAGAGAATATGGTGGTGAGAAGAACGGTGCATAGGTAAGATTGATATATGAGTGTGGTGTAAAACCGTAGCATGTAGAAAAGGTACGGTAGGTAGGTAGCTATCCCACCCAAAAAACAACAACAACGGGGTTGACATACATTCGAAGCAGCTATGCGTACCCTTACGCATCTTTTTGCGCGTCGGCAACGTCTCCTCCTTTGGCATGTCGATGTAGAGGGTTCGTGTCCCACTCTGTTGGTTGGTTGGTGCCTAGCTCGCTTGCGCGAATTCGTCCGAATTCAAAAAGTTGGGGCAAAAAGGCAAAACCTGCTGACGATGTATATGGCGAGATATAATCGTGTTGCCCGGAAATTTGGGGAGTTTGCAAAGTAAAGAAGCTTACACTACCTATGGGGGGGGATGGAAGGATCGAGTAAACTGTGGGGGGTGGAAAGGGGGACGTAAGCTGCTGGTGGATGATGCTATTGTTTGCAGGCAAGAGATGAAGCAGAGGCGGACGGAGGATTCGTCCGGCGTATTGGGCGTATTGGGCGTATTAGGTCAGCGGCGAAAGCTGATTAATACAAGGTTTCGGCAGCGAAGGGAGTGCTAATGTGATATAAGTAGAGCTCCAGGCAGCCATACGGCCTGTCTGCGGGCATTCGCTCACTCGGATCTAACGGACTTACCGAGCTGGACGAGCAGGCAAAGGCCCCTGGTGCGACATGTGATTCACCTGCGTCCAGGCTGATGCTGGAGTAGATCTCTTCAACCACTGCGGAAGCGGAGAAAGTAGGATAAGCACAATATGGACACAGACACCTGGCCCCGGTCGGACTCCGCCACGCCCTTAGCTCCGTCGTGTGATGCCCATTGCGCATGCTCTAACCCCGCGTACGCCCATTGGCGCTATCTCTATTTGATGGAGTGCTTATCTCGTCAGACAAGTCCATTTCGTACTATATGTAGATCGGTGTGCTGTCAGGTCGAACGCGAAAAATAAAATAAACAATAATATCCATGGCGCTCCCAAGAGCATAAGTCTGGACTTTTTGGAATGACATGGGCTCAAACGTCATAACAACGGACGCGGGCGGGCTACCCAGCCCTATGGAGACCCGAGCGGGCGCACGCTGCGTCACTGTGATCCGCATCTTTTGACTAAGTATACCCATTCCTATATGTACATACAAACAGGAATTCCCCATACATACCTGCTTTGCTGCCGCCGCTATACCACCCATCGCTGTTCCCGTTTCCCCCCCCCCCACACTGAACCAAGCCCCTTAGCCCAGGGGATCTACCTACCCGCTCGTATTCCACATGCTCAGAATGGTATCCATCCGAATCTGTTAACCGTTCATTTCTCCCTCTTTGGTTTCCGGATAGTAGGCGCCATGGCTGCTGCGACACAGCACCACCAGCACCATCACCTCCAAACTCCACCGCCATCCCCACAGACTACACGGCGCAGACACAAGAAAAAACCAGACCCATTCGAGCAACTCGCAACAAGCCCGATCCCATCACCCCCATCCTCTCCGACCTCCGCGCTGCATGACAGCAACGAGCCTCTTCTAGCACGGGTAGGCTAACCCACAATCCTTTTATTTACCCCCCTCCCGTCTCCCGGATGTGGGGGGGGGGACCACATTTAGACAAAAACACCCGCGCTGATTCTCAAACCTTTTTTGCATCAAAATAAAGATCATCCTAACCCCCGTCTTCTTCACGTCATTCCTCCTATCGCTCTTCCTGGTAAACTATCGCAATCGCGCCCGCCGCACGCACGCTCACGCATCCACTTCTTCTTCTTCTTCCTCGTCGTTGTCGCTTCTAGCCTACCTGGTCCCATCGCGATGGCTCGACCCGGAACCTTATCAGGACCCGGACGATTCGACCTGGGGCCGTAGGGACACGGCGCACCATGTTGAGCCACATGATGCTATTTCGCCGAAGCCAGATGCGCAGAGTGCGTTTATGAGGCCCGGTGGAAAGAACAAGAAGAAGAAGAAGAAGTCGTGGCATTTGAATAAGAAGATTCGCAAAGTGGCCAAGTTGGAGATTGGCGATGCGCTCGAGATGCGCGGGCGTATGATTGCGGCTATGGCTGTTTTTGTCATTTTGGCTGGGGTGGTTTGTTGGATGGGTCTAAGGTGGTGCTTTGCATCCTTGTCGCATGCACTGTCTGTGTCACAGGGACCTCATGGCTCTGCAACGACATGACGTCTATGCGCATCTCACTACATGTATGCACACTAAAAAGCTGCCAAAATCTCGTGGCCCCTCAAGGGGGATCCAGAATGCCACATGATGAGCTTATGACAACGCAAACGATCAACGACCAACGAAAAATCAAAAGCGGGGGGAGGGGGAAGGGGAGGGGGGGACTGGCCATCTATGGTAAACAAGAGTAAATCATTTATTTGCAGATATTCCTTTCTTACACTAACTTACAACAGGGTAGGTAGTTTTTGAACAATCTAGTCAAAGGAAATTAAAGAAGAACAAAAAAAGTCGAATATCCAAATGCTACCCATGAGTCGTAAAACCGGTCGTTTCATCATGAACTAAAAAAAACACTGTCTATAAGAGGGGTATAAGAAGAAGAAGTATCACAAGCCTCATGAACGCTAAAAAAACGGTAATGAAAAGAAAAACAAAATGATACCATGGTGTGATCGGAAGTGAGTCACTCCCGGTGTCCGACAATGATTGATTAGAGAGCTTCGTCTCATTGTTTCAGCAGGCGAACCACGAGCCGGTCGAAGAAGTAGCCCATATCGTCATCTCTTCTTGTGGCCTTGGATTTCTGCGTAATATAGCCCTCATCATTGGCCTGTCTGATGGCCGCCTGCAGGCCTGCAATGAACTTGTCGGCAGGGGTATGGGGCTGTGAAGATTCGCCCTCCCAGTCCAGCCTGAGTCTAGCGTGACAACCCGAAAAGCATGCCTTGTAGAAATCTAACAGCTCGCTAACCCCTTGCTCGTTGACTGCTAGGTCTTCTTCTGCAATGGCTGCGTTTGTTTCGTCATAGAAGTTATGGTAGGGGAGCTTGGCGGCGTGGTAGTGGACAGATTCGATCGTCATGAGAACAGTGATGAGGACGGCAACAGCAATAGGCCATTCGTCGCAGTCCTTGTTCAATAGGAATTGCTCCAGAGACGAGAGCACTCTCTTCATCAGGTCATGAGCAAGATTCGGCATGACAGCACCAAACTGTGACCGGATGAAGCATGGCGTTGGGGTGAGATCCTCGGCAATGTCCATCGTACTGCTGATGAGCTGTGCTAGGACCCAGCTCTCGGATCGCGACGGTAATGTGATGTCGCCACCCACATGAACGAGAACAAGAAGCTTAAGTGCATCATGCAACACACCATAGTGCAAAGTGTTTTTCGGAAGAGAGCTCGAGAACATGCATACCTCGCGCAGGATCCTCAATGGCGAGCAGTATAACGGGAAATTGTGGAAATGCTGTGTTACAAGCAAGGATAGGTGCGAGTCTAGTGTCTGAAGGAGATTTGCTTGAGCATCTGCACATAGGACAGCTGGAAGGACAGCATGCCGGTGGGGCGGTCCCGAGAACGGCTCGGGTGGCCACGAGTACACAATGTGGTTGTGTACCAATGGGTGGTCGTCAAGTTCAATGGTGTTCACAGAGACCGGAAACGCCGGACCAAACCCAAAGTTAATCGGAACGGTATAAGTACCATCCGTAAGGATTTTGAAGTGCCGTGTAGGGATAAATGACTCGAGATTTCGAGCAGTCGGATGCCATCCCAGGCGGTCGGAGAGAAATGCTCCCGATAGATCACTGAGCGTATGACCACGGCAGGGGTGATTGACCAGATCTCCTTTGTAGTGTTCTAGACAGGCTTTGCACGGCATGCCCGGATCACATTTTTCTTTACGCTTCTGGCAGTTTGAACACGCACGGACGATGCGCATCAACGCCGCATCACGTCGTTGCTCTGGTGTGAGAGCCTTCTTTCTGCCTTTCTGTGCTCTTCCAGACACGCCATCCGTGGTTATGGGCGATAGCTTGTTCGTCAGTGGATTGGGCTGGTACGCTACCCATCCGTAAGAGTCGCATGTAGGCGATGGTGTAGAGCTTTTGCGCCGAGACAGTGAAGCACTTCTGGACAGAGCAATTGCACGAGGATGTCGTGAAGCTGCAGGAGATAGAGATGGGGTTGTAGCTCCTCGTCGTACAGACCCTGAATTGCTAGTGCGATTGTTGTAGCTTGCGGGTCTCCGAGCGGCGTCCGGAATCGCTATGGCCCTACTGTGACTATGCAGCTCAAACCCCCCATCGGATCTCGGATACGGCGAATACGACGGGGATGTTATATTGTAACTCTGCGACAGCGATTGTGGGATAGGAATCGGCATGGCTTCTGTCCGCCCACAATCATCTTCAGGAATGGGCTCAATAATGCGTGGTTGGTCTGACCAAGCATGCCAAGTCGAGAACGCTCTAGATGCCCTCATGTCCAGGCCGCTGAAGGAATGGGACGAGCCTGTGACATGAGGATTGAAGACCGTCTCGGCTGCACTTTCCTGAGACCCTGTTGGCGATGAGAAGGTCTCTGGGATGCGGTCATAGCGTGTATCTAGAATCATTGATTCTGCAATGTCTGCCAATGGGGATAGGAGGGCATTGTCGGAGGCGCCGAACGATCCATAGAATTGGTTTTCCTGGGATATAGCTAAGGAGGAAGTGGTCGCCTTGTCCAAGGAAGGCGAGGCAAGGTAGGCATAGTTGAGAGAAGACTGGTCACCAAGGATTGACGGCGAGGCGGAGACTGGAGTGTAGTCGAGCGAAGGTGGCAAGTCGGTGATGGATGGGGCAGTTGAGATCAAGTAGGGCGGTTCAGATGTGTAGCTTCCTGATAATTGAGAGTCTGCGCTGAAGCTTCCACCTTGTGCTTGGGTGTAGTTGGTCTCGCCCTGGAAGAAGGGGTCGTACAGTTCTCCGTTCCAGGAAATGAGGTCTTGCCAGCCCTCGGTGGGCGAGTTGTCGTACTGTGCATGTGACATATCTTAGTCGAGGCGCGGTGACACGGTTGTGAGATAGGCGGATTGACTGGGGGGGAAGGCGTGGGCGGGTCGGGGACGGTACGGATGAAGACCTTCCAGGTTCACCCGGCTGCTGAGCGTCTCATGCGAATGGGCGGATGAAACGCGCAGGGAGTAGATACCAAAGATGGACAGGAAACAAAGCCAACGCGTGTGCAATGTGTGTGTGCCAGGCCGAAAGGTAGGTGCAGTTATATTTCCAAGGGCGGCCTGGGGCAAACTCAAGACCCGGCTGAGGGCGCGCGACGCTCGCTGCCTTGCATCAGAGACGGACAGGGCAATTGATGAGTAGTCATGTACGGCCTTATCACGTTCTCGCTGTTTATTAGTCAATTAGTGAAGGGGGTGAGTAAATGGCCGTAGGCTGTTGTGGTGGAGAGTGCTGGGTCGAAACTATCGTGTCTTGGTGCTGGCTGGCAGTGCCATCTGACCATGCACGGGTCTGCAGTATGCGCGCCGGTCAACTACATCTGTGGTAGTCCCGCCACCGTGCTGCCGGGCAGCCTTCCCCGCTCTCCGCGACACACGGCCACGTCAAATCACAGCCAGAGACGTGAGCTGCAGGATATGCGGGACGAGTCTGCTAGTTCTAACGCCTGCGGCACTTGGGCGAACTATGTTGGACAAGCCGAGCGTCTGGGAGACTTCGCCTTGTCGTGGCTGTGAAGGGTGCAGATGTTGCCCTAGTAGTGCACAGCCGTGGGGTTGTCTATCCATGTCTGCGTCTCTGCAAAGCGCCCCCATTAGCCTTTAGCCCTACCATGGGATTGCTCTTGTTTGAGTTCCCCCACGACGCACCTAGTAAGTGTTGCTGTGCCCTCGAGGGGGGAGGCATTGTCGGCGTGGAACAAAGGGCGGTTGCCCTATTACTAGGCTTGGATACGTAAGTTACTTGTTAGCCTTCCTCGAGAGTAAGCCTACGTTTGCCGAGCCCCCAGCCCGAACCAGACATCTGTCCATCCGCTTTGCTGGTTGTAAAGGCTAATCGGGAAACTCGGCCAAACTGTACCTGGCCCTGACGCGCTTTCTGGAACAGGACGTGCTGTCACGTCGACGAACGTTTTGGTGTAAGAGGAGAAGCAAAGCAAGGGAAAGCGAATCGCTAGGCTGTATCAAGTAAAAGGTGGACCTTCGTTACCAGCACGCCGTCACCCTCCACACGGCCAAGCAGAAAACAGCCTGACAGAATGCCTGGCAAGCCGTCTCAACATGACATGCTACAAGCACGGCATCTTGTCCCTGCGCTAGATGAGACAGACGTTTGAAAAGCAGCTAGGGAGCCTCACTCTGCTCTCGTATACGCGGGAACGCATCCCGCAAGCTTCACTCGCAACACGTCTTCATCAGCCAAGTGCGGCATTTGTTGGTGCATGAACATGGAAAGAATTTATTTTTCAGGAACCCAACGTCGACAAAGTGGAGCGGGCCCAGCCCGTAGAGTATTAGGGCAGGTGTTTGGCCAAAAGATACCAAACTCAAAAAAAATAAAAGACGAACGAGGTATGGCCGTAAGAATAAGTACATGGTAGCAGAATGATATTCGAAACAAAACGAGTAAAGGAAAAATAAGAACAACACGGGGATATGAACGTAAAACATAACACATAATGCACCAAGCCCACCCAAATCGCCAATGACCTGGAAGCCGGGTATCATCATACAAGGAGGAAAAGTGTGAGGGAGAATGGCCACTCATCCGTGGCCCCAAAAAATCCTTTTTTTTAAAACTTCAACCGTCGGCTTTCAAACATCAATCATGTCGTCAGAGCCTTGACTGGGCGTTGGGTCAGAGCATGACCACGCCCGCATGCGCATGATGATGTCGAGGTCCCCGTCTAGTCAGGCAGCCTCGCCCGGGGCAAAGAAAAGAACAATCTCGCCCCGGTCGTTCTTCCTGAGGCGCAGATCCTTCCAGAGCTCTTTCTCATCTTCAGCCTTGGACGGCACACGGTCAAAGTGCTCGTGGCGCTCGCGGTGGTATCGCTTCAGAGCTTTGTTGATGCTCATGCCGCGCTCAGAATCAGGGCCCTTGGTGATGAAGGACATGAATAGTCCAGCGCGGGAGTTGAGGTCTGGCGAGAAAGGCGCAACATCTCCGCTGGGGCGCACAATGAGCTGGCCTTCGCCATTGGGCTCTGGAGAGTCAGAGGCCGACCGGTTGTACTCAATGGCTTTGACGACTTTGCGGTCTCGGGGCGCTGGCGAAACCGACGAGGAATACTGCCTGCGACGGATGCGGCGCACTTCCTTTGTCGAGTCTTCTCGCTTCTTCTTGGATCGAATCTTGACCAACGTGCCATTGGACTTGCGCTCCTTACGGTCACGTTCGCGCCCACGGTCCTTGTCCTTCTTGTCCTTTTTGTCTTTCTTTTCCTTCTTTTCCGCTTCTTTCTTCTCTGCCTGCTCGCGTGCCTTTGTGTCAGACTTGCGCTGCTTTTGCTGCTCTTCCTCGTACTCTCGCTGTGCGCGCATAAGCGCCGATGAATTACCCTGCTTGGCACGTTTCATGGGACTCAAGGGCGAGTTGGCATAGTCACCCGAGTCGTCTGGCGACGGCGGGAATTCTGGTCGAGCCAGCAATCGGCTAAGCCCTCCAGTCAGGCCAGAGTGGAGCGTTGCAGGCGCATCAGCCATCATGGTATCCTTTTCATCTTGAGCTCTAACCAGCGACAGGTCAAGCTGGGTGGGAGAGTTGCGCTTGCGCTTGCGATCCGTCTTCTTGCTTGTCGTCTCAACGTCGGTGTCGCGCGACTTGGTTCTCGAGTGCTTCGCCTTGGGAGCAGGCGTAGTGTATGAGTCGTGTTGCTCTCGTGAGGGGCGAATCTGATTGGTCGAAAAGCCATTTTGCGCAAAGGTTTCATCATCATCAGCCACTTGAAACTTCATGACGTCGTCAATTGTAGGCATGTACTGGTCCTCGTACGCAGGCGGCTGTCTGTCTTCGAGCATGCGCGCTTCGTTAATGGGCGCTGCCGTTCGCGGAGCAATGGGCGTCGAGGAGGGGTCGAGGAAGTCGAAGACGTTAGGAGCCTCAATGGCCGCTTGTTCGTGGTAACCAAGGGAATGCGCCGCTGGAGGAGGAGTAGGCGCGCGCGGCGGGGCATCGACGACAGCCAGGGCGTTGTCTTGGGCGGGTGCATCTTCGGCGTATGCGTTGTGCGGGGTGAGGGCTTGCGAGTTGTCGTGGTATGCGCTGTCCCTCTTCTGGGGCGGACCTTTTTTCTTCTCTTTGTAGAGCTTTCCTTGGTACTTTTGGTCTTCAGTTATGCAGGACTAGGCCATGTCAGTCAATTGCAAGGCGCATTGGGGAAACAAAGGGCTGGCGCATTGCATACCGTGTGGGACTTGTAGGAGGTGCCAGGAAAGTGGACCATGCAATCGAGGCAGGTAAAAGTAGCGCCATAGCATTGGTTGCGATGGCCATCGAGCTTCTTCTTTGTGAGGACGTCTCCACAGCCCTAGATGGGCAGAGTCAGCTTCCAATGCATGTCTAGGGGAGGGGTGCCAATTGAGGGGGCATGGTGGTAAACAAGCAAGGGCAGGCAAGCAGTATGTACCTCGCAGGAGAAGGAGACCATGATGGCAGGACGGAAGTTGTTTCGACAGGACAACAGACAGGCAGACGAACAAGAGGCGGTGAACAGCTAACAGCTGGCAGCGGCAGCGCAGGGGAGGAGCAGACTGAAGAGTCGGTGTGCTAAGGAGGGGGCGCGGCGTCGTTATCACCCCTCGGTGCTGACCCAAGGAAGGTTTCAGATGTTTTGGATAGCACAAAAGCTGCTATGCGCTAGGTTGCTTCGGGAACAGGGCCCCTTGCGAAGCGCGCCCTCGCGACCATCCCAAAATACAATCATGCGACCGCGCATCTTTGCATGCCGCCCTGTTAGCGCCTGCATCGGCCTCCCCACCGCAAGCCACGCGCCTGGGGAACGGGTGGGCTGTCGCTGTCCGTCTTGTCCGTCTCCTCGTCTGCATCTGTCATGGTTGTGGTGTATGGTTCGTCCACCCGCAGCCGCCGCCAACGGCCATGACGCACGAGGGCGCCCCAAGGAACGAGGCACAGAGGGGAGGCAATGGGCCAACACTGAGGGGCACACAACAGAGGCACAGACTGCTGTTGCGTCGTGTAGATTGACTTGCTCGACACACCACTTGTCCTCGCCCGCTGATAAGACCATCACCGTGTTGCGCAAGCCATGCCTGCGTGGCTGTATAGCGACAGGGCTGCTCCTGTCATAAGGCCAATCGCTCGCACAGCCATTCGCTACACTCTGCTTAGGCCAATCTCGAGTCCAGCTATAGTACACACCACCACTACACCCCAACCAAGACAACTAACACATTACCGCCTCCAACCCCGCTGACAAGCCTACGTGATCGACCGGGGGTGTAGGAGCAGCTACGTCAACCACCACTTAGCCTATTGGCCTGCCTCTCCCACCTCCCTTGCTGCGGCCTGCGGCACAGTGAGGTACCCGCGGACTTTGTTGTAACTACTAGGCCCAGAGACGCCAGGTCTCTCTTTTGGACATTGCACTGCTCCTAAAAGAAGCAGGATGCCCTCTCCCCAGCCCCTGCATGCATGCAGAGTGCCATGGCGCTTGTCTTGTATCTATGCACTGTAGATATTCGACACTGACACACACATACCCCCAGTGTCCTTCACTATGCACGTCTTGCAGGGCTCATGACTTGCCCGAGTCTTCCTGTCTCCCTTGTCCTTTGTTGATCTATGTCACCAGGACGTCCCTGCCGCGGTGCCATTGCCCAATCATTCTTCTGCGCAACCTGTCAAGCCTATTAGTACGCCGCAAGTAACCTGTAGACATTGGAAAATCTACATACCGCAATCGTATGCGTCGCCTATGTCTTCGCAGTTGAACTCCGGCTTCTTCAGCCTTTTATTGACAACGTTGTGCACGTAGCAGCCCCACATGGCTGCCGCTGTCCGGGACGACACCTGGGGAGGGTATTTGGCAAGCACTTGTCCAAAGTGCTCTGCGCATTCTCCACTACACCGACAGTTAGCTGGCGCGTGACTCCAGCCGCAGATCCCCTGCATTGTCTAAGACATACCATGGGTACAGGCGCTGGAACAGGTGAACATATGACCGTAGCGCCTCTTTCTCCTCCTCTGTAGGCTTCTCGGGGAAGCGGGCGAAGGTTGTGTGAAGGACTTTCCAGGCCGCGCGACCAAGTTCTGCTCTGGATATTGCGCGTCAGCTCAGCTCTTGCGATACGTGTACGTTCCCATGTCTGGGCATGACCAACATACTTTGCCGTCGCGTTTCCCAGCTTTGGCGCGATTGCGTGTCCTGTAAGCAGGCTTTGGCTAGTATGCCCCAGATCCCTCCCGGGTGTCGTGAAAGTAAGGTGGCCGGGTGTTACTTTGTAGGGGCCTAGGAGTAAGAATGAACAAAGAGCCATGACGAGTATCGCGAGGACTGCGAACCGCGCGCGGAGACCGGCCACGCGAAACATGACGGAATAAATATGCCAGGGATATCAAAATACGAAGAAGAGGTTGTTCAAGACGAGAGGTGCTACTCCATGGTGTGTTTAAAGGTGTATTGGTGCAGTTACAGATAATCACATCCTCGATGCCTCAGATTACGCCAAGAAACGACACACCCGGCACGTCACGCCTGGGTGGTTCCACCATGCGGGTAAGTCTGCAGGTACAGACGCGAGATGCAGCGCGGCGCAGCACAGCCGAAAAGCAAAATTAATAATGACTCCAAACGGAAACACCAGGATGGGCGTCAGCACCTTTTGATATATTGTAGCGGCTGATTCAGGATATCGGCGGTTGCGGGCCACCGATATCGCTCTCTTACTAGCTGACCCTCTTGACCCTCCGGAAGCAACCAAAACTTTCCGAGCCCCATTCCATCTTGCATAATAATTCATACCCCATCACCAGCACCCACAGTACACTGACTCTAAAGCAATCATGTCTGACTTTCCTCCACCACCAGTTGATACCATCGGTACGTTGGCTGCTGTCTACTGACACACGGATTGTAATTTTTTTGCTGACTGTGTTCTAGATTGGAGCAACGTAGGCTTCAAGATCCGAGAAGGTATGACCATGTTCTGTTCAGGATTATTCAAGATTATGTATCCTTGATGGCATCAATGTCTCTTATAAGAGAAGGCACACCTCTCTTGGAAGATGCCGCATGTCCACCATTTCCTTCTGTGCAGCACATTTCCGACACCAAAAAACACAGTTATTGAGTCATAACCTAATGCATTTGAAGTTGCTGGCCATGTCGAATCACATTACTCTGTCGAGACTGGAAAATGGACGCCTCCAGTTTTCGTCGAAGACCCTTACCTCCGTATCCACGGCATGGCGCCTGGTCTGAACTACGGCATGCAGTGCTACGAGGGAATGAAGGCGTTCCGGGCGCCAAACAACACCATCAACATCTTCAGGCCAAACAAGAATGCCGAGCGTATGCAGCACTCTGCTTCATTCATTTCCATTCCAGAGGTGCCGACAGACCACTTCCTTGCTTGCTGCAGCCTGGCTGTAGGCATGAATGCAGCCTATGTACCACCCCATGAGACGGGTGCAGCCATGTACATCCGGCCATTGCTCTTCGGAAGTTCTGCACAGCTCGGTCTGAACCCTCCACAAGAATACACCTTTGTCGTCTACTGTATCCCAACCGGTGTCTACCATGGATCCAACCCCGTGGACGCTGTCATTCTCGAAGATTTTGACCGTGCTGCTCCTGAAGGTACCGGATCAGCAAAGGTTGGCGGAAACTACGCTCCAGTATTGAGGCATAGCGAGAAAGCATACAAAGCTGGCTACGGCATCACTCTCCACTTGGACAGTAAGACTAGGAGTGTAGTTGACGAGTTTTCCACATCAGCCTTCATTGGCGTGAAGAAGGATGGCGACAAAGTCAAGCTCGTCGCCTCTAACAGCAAAAACGTTATCCAGAGTGTCACTGGAGATAGTGTTTTGAGAATTGCCGAGTCTTTTGGGTGGGAAGCTGAGTCACGCGAGGTAATGCATGCGAGCCATTAGGTTTTGGATTGTGCTGATGATATCAGATTGCTTACGACGAGCTGAGCACTTTCGATGAAGTTCTTGCTGCCGGAACTGCCGCAGCTCTAGTTCCCATCAAGTCTATCACTATGCAGTCCAGGGGTGACAAGTTCACCTATGCAGAAGCCCAGCAAGAACCAGGCCCAGTATGCAAGAAGCTTCTCACAACTCTCAAGGGAATCCAGCAGGGCAAGATTGGAGACAACAAGAACTGGCTTTACAAGGTTGAAAGACCAGAGCAGTTTGGAAAGCAAGACCAGACGAACGGTGCCAAGATTGTTGGACAGCTGCCGTAAGGGTATTCATGTGGCTTGCTTAACTGAGGCGTACAAAAGTTCAGTGCTCCGCATCTTAAAAAAAGCAATTACTTCTGAGCTTTCCTGAATAAGACGACCATCACGAATGTACATGTAGATAAAGAATTGATGCATAACAAATTATGTCTATATGCCCAGCTCCAGCTATCTTGTTCTACTATATCATGCATGAATGGATAGATGGGCCACATACCATATATAGGACCAAGACAGCTTGTAGTGTGTGAGCATGATTATCATGTCAAAACACACCGTAAGCCCCTTTAGACACCATCATAGTGTTTAAAAAAGGGGTAGTTAGTTACAAATATATAACTATATTGCAGTTTACGATAAAAAATCACCCGCGGCAAGCAGGGATGCCCCACCCAGCGAATCTGGCCAGACGCATACGTCATCCCTGCATATTGCCCGCATGAAGGTTTCGGCATCTTTTGGTCGGCCTTGGCCCTAGCGAGACAGGCATCTGGTATTTCCACCTACCGTATTTCCCAGAGGTCTGGCCTGTTGTTATAATATCGTCCCTGTCGCCTGCAGCCTTGGATTGGGTACCCACCGCGATCGCACCGCACCGCACCGCACACCACACCTCCTCTACAAACCACCGCGGCAGTGCGTGCCAACATGCACGGCTCCTTCTCAAGAATCAAAGACAAGGCGAGGCGGCGTTTGGGAGATCCCAGCCCGGATGAGGCCTATCTTTCATGTGAGTCATGATCACCGTAATGGCACAGAGAGCGACGACTGACTGAACGTACGCAGACTACGACGTGAGGGGTGTGTGCGTCATCTGTTCCTTGACTTGCGCATAGAACGACCAAGCCGACAACAATACTGACGAGCGTAGTAACACGAGCGGATCTTGATAGTATCAAGACCAATGACTGGCTCACCGACAATGTGGGCATACACTTCTACTGTCCAAACAGCTGCTGTGACTAACCCCCCTGCAGGCAATTGCCTTTTGGCAGGAATACCTCGAACGCGAAGAGCTTATCAACTACCCCAAAGCCTCCATCGTCCTCCTACGCCCCTCCATGTCCTACATGCTCATGCAAGCCGCAGAGCCCCTCGCCCTCAAGGAAGCTCTGCCGAATTTCAGCCACACTACACATGTCTTCCTACCCATAAACGACAACGTGGATGTCACGCAGGCAGAAGGCGGGTCCCATTGGTCTCTGCTGCTGGTGTCAATCATTGACGGCGTTTCCTTCCACTACGATTCCATGAGCCAGGCAAACGAGCGCGAGGCACGGAGCACGACCATGAAGCTGGAGCAATTGCTTGGGAAGAGACTGAGATTTATACCCATGGGAGACAGTCCCCAGCAGGAGAATGGAAGTGATTGCGGAGTTTTTGTCTGTGTTCTCATGCGCCACTTGTTGCTCAAGAGGCTGCTTAGAGCGGATGCGAGCACCAAAGTGAGCATGAGTATGCGGGACGCCCATATCAATGCCAAGGATGGGCGGAAGACGATGCTAAAGGTGATTGAGGAAAGGAGAGATGAGGGGAAGCGGAGACGCTCGTAAGTCCTAACAAGACATAAGGAATGTTGAGACTACGAAACTAATATTTCGGTTGCTTAGAGGTAGCCACTCGCCCTTTAGGAACCAATCGTCAAACTCGAAGAGTCCTCCACGCATTGGCGAAGAGCAATCGCAATCACAATCCCAGGAGCGTTAAGAGAGACCTCACTTTTATCGAAAACACCACACCCACGACATATATCATACCGCTATCTACATCCTGTTGACACTATACTGGCTAGGACACGTCCTAGTAGTTTGCCGGAGAGACGGCTTCACATATCGAACTTGTTGCAGCTTCAACTATGTCAGCAAGGATATTTTGCACTCATGAGCCGGTCGGTGCGAATTTTAAAAAAAAAGATATGAGTCACGATTTATGAGTTTATGCACTATATGGTAATATTTGTGGAGGAGTGTCAGTACCGGCGTTCATGGTAGATTTACACCATATCTATATACATGTATATAGCATATGAAATGGGAAGGCATCTGCTTTTTCAAATTTTTGCATGCGAAATCATCTCAAACCACCGGACGCAGTGAACATGGAACTATGGGTTCGGATTGTATTCGATACGTAAAAGTACAGGTCAACAAGCACTCATATACGTGTGTGTGTGTGTGTGTGTGTAAATGCTTACAACCCAGAAACGCCCACTGATGCACGTCAGACCACCCCCACCCACACGCTTCGTAGTATCAAAAAGCCGGCAGCCCAAAAGGAAAATAAACAAATAAAAGCGTTTCGATATCCCCACTTCTACGAAGTCTTCTTCTCATCCGCCTTTTGCGGGACGAGATTCCCCTTTTCATCCCTGGGTATACGCTGCCAACCCGTCTTGAACCGCTTCTTGCTCGGATCGAAGCGGGGAAAAGGATGAGCCTCTGTGTTGAAGACGATTTGATCCAGCGGCAAGAGATCATCAGGTGAAAAGAGAAGGTACATGTACTTTAGCGTTTCGGCCTGTGCTTTACATTAGTATTTGTCCCTTTTTTTTAAAAAAAAAAACTTTGGAAAGCAAAAGGGGGGAAAGGCGAGGATGTCAAACTTACCAACCAGAAACTCTCCATGTTATCTCTTGTTGGAGGCGGCACTTTGGTCACATCACCCACACTTGAAAACCCACCGTTGTCAGGCACAATTGTGTGCTTGACGAAGCTCTCGAACATTTCCCAGCCCCACTCTCGATATGTTTCGTCGCCCGTGATGCGCCACATGTACAGCAGCGACTCGACGGTTTCGGGACGCTGCAGGTTATGCGTATCCGCGGGTTTGATATCAAAGTCGCTCTTCCAGCCCTCGCCGTCGGCGACGCTAGTGTCGAGATCGGATTTGGAGGGGAGGATCTCAGTGCGATACATTTTGGGGGGGTCGTCGAGGACGAAGTGGGCGATTTCGGGGGCGAGGCCTGTGGCGGTGACTTTGTACATGCCCATGCAGGTTTTTGTGAGTTCGCGGGCGAGGGTGATGTCTTCTTCTTGTTGCTTGCCCCATGTGGGCAGCTTACGGGCTTCGGCCAGGGTAGCGCCTTCGGTGACGGCTAGGGCGATGGTACCTGGGAGGAAGCAAACGAGATGGTCCATTTTGGGGTGCAGGTTTCCTTCTATGCCATTGGGGCGCTCTGCCAGGACGGTGAAGTGGCTGTGCTTTGTGTAGGTGAGGAGATGCTTCTTTGCGCCTTTGAGAGACTCGTTCCACATTTCTTGGTACACTGGCTCGTGTTTCTGCGTCTGCAGGTATTGCTTAGGGAGGTACTCGTAGTAACTGTCGCCACGGCTGCCCCATCGGATCTCGTTGCCGCGGAACGTGCCTCTGTCTGCGTAGATGAAGATGGGAAGCAGACCATCTTTGGCGCCGAGGTTGTCAACGACTTGCATGACCTTCTCTGCCGAAGTCCAGTATTGTGATTCACCAGTCAGGAAAGCAAGGTACTTCATTTCGAGTTGGAGAGTCGTCGCTTCGGCTGTAGAGGACGCACCTCCATCGGCGTGTGAGGCTTCACCCTTGGAATCCTTGAGAATGACGCTGGCCCAAGGCACACCTGAAGGTGAATCGTATGCGCCCATGAGGCGATCAGCAAGATCCGTTGCCTTCTCCAGGAAGAGATCCTCGTCATTCGCATTCGAAGGCTTCATTCCAGGAAGTAAGTCTTGTAGATAGTGTGCCGACAGCAGACCACCAAGCATGCGAATCGTCGTTTCAAAAGTGTTGACATCCTGCTTCTTGTCGTAGTCCAGAGTCGTGGATATCCATTCACGGGCGTGGTTGTATTCCTTGGTCAGGTTCATGATCATGAGTGTGTCGAGCGCATCTACGATGATCCAACCTAGACCGTTGGGTTCAGCCATGTATCGTCCCTTCTTTGAAACTGGGTGGTACTCGTCATAGCCCCAGCCGTGTTCCTCATATGCGTTCCAACTCAGCAAGAAGGCGTCCTTGACTGCTTGTCTCCGCTTCTCCCAGTCGATTTTGCTCTTCTTTCCTGTAGCACTTCCTCCAATCTTGGAGGCCAGACTCTTCCCTCTGTCCTTCTCATCTTCCGCTAGACTGACGCTTGTGCCTCCACTCGACCATCCGAACCAGTAGAAGAGCCCCAGCACCACCAGCGCTATTAACCCCATTCCCCTCTTGCTCCTCATAAAACCTCTCCTCCCCCTCGGACCACCATATCCGTAAACCTTTCCTGAAGGCTTGTCTTTGTACATTGGCAAGCCCTTTTCGTTCCCTGGAAGCTTATTCCACACATTATCTTCAAACTTGCGTTGCGCGCTCTCGAAATTGGGTACGTTGCGCGGGATGGCGAAGGACATATCGGAGTCCTGGATTGCCTGTTTCGTGGCCTGAACTGCCTGCTTGCCCGATTGCACGGCTTGCGAGGCGGTCTTGTTGGCGGCGTTCTGGAGGATGCTAAAGGCAGAGGGTGTCTTGAAGGTTGCTTTGCTGCGGAGGTTGAATGGATCGCGTGTCGAGTTCATTGGGCGGCGCAACGTGTCTTTTGGCGGTAACAATATGTATTTGAGCGAATTCAATTCATTCGTGAGAATTTGACAGTCCAACCATCTTGCTCCAGACCCTCAATGCATTCGAAAGCTCATATCCTATGTACGAGGTTCCTGGCTCGCCAGGTGTTCACTGCTCACCTCTAATGCAGACAGCTTGGCACGACAGGGGTCCCCTGCAGCTCAGTACCGATGCGGAGCTGAGCGGGAATGCTCCACCTTACCACTGACAGCCTTGTGCAACGAGTTCATGTCAGTGGTAGGACCGTCTTAGAAACATGTAGTCGGGACATGAAATCAGCCACCGCCATTCAAAATCAATCATGAGACAACCAGCCCAAAGGTGCACTAGGTACCTCTCTCCTATATCTTACCTCAGCCGTACTCGGCTTCATTTTCGATTACCCCGTACTCTGCCATATACCTGTGATAATTGGGTCCTTTCGTTGTATTGATATTTGGATGGAGCGAGACGTCGTACTGTAACACTAATGTAGATCAAGATTGCTAGTTGGTGCATCCCACCAGCGTAGATCTGAAGACTCCGATCCATTGTGATGACTACGTCTTCTTCGGTACGCGGATAGACTTTAAGAAGGCTCTATATGAGCGGCTGGAATATCGATAATGTGCAATCCATTTGAACGGATTCATGTATACTCAATGCAAAGCAGTGATAGAGGAAGTCGAAGCGGTTGTGGTATTAGTAGCCATGAAGCCGTATGCTCTACAGTTAGCTGTCCAGCAATAATAACCACATGAACCACCATAATTGTATCAAGCCATGTTTGTGATGTTTTGGAACGATTTTGACATTTTTCATTCCTGGTGGTAACCCAATGTGAAGGGTTCCGTAGTGTCATTGAACAAGGTTTATCCGTTGTGACGCCGTCCGCCCATGCCTTCATGCTTCGTGCGCATCGTGCATTGATGTCCTTGCACACTTCCGTCCTCAGTTCCTCATGCCTTTCGATCCGTTTATGCGGTGCGCTTGCCCTTGGGGTTCTTCTTGCCAACGTCGGAGATGGTAAGACCTGGTACGTGTTAGACGAATAGCCTAGAAGTGAGGGTAATTTCTCTGGGTAGTGCGTACCCGGAGGCAGACTCTGCTTGAGCTTCTCGGCCTTGTCGGTGTCCTTAAGGACAAGGGTGTACAGGTTGGTTGAGCATCGGACCTTGAACTTGATGTTGTTGACCTTCTTGTTCTTCTTTATGCAGGCGGCTACATTTCTGTCAGTCTAGCTCTCTCACATAAAGTAGCCTATACATAAGCATCCTCCCCCGTAGTCGCCGTTGTATTCAATCATCGTGCGAACTCCCTCCTCTTCTTGCGACCGCAGGCCACTCCCATATCGAAATTGGTAGACGTACACTTGGCATCCTTGCGCCTGCAGATCTCGATGAACTGCTTGATGTCGGAAACTTCGGAAGGCATCTTGACGGTAATGTGTCGACGAGTCGTTGGGTTCGGATCGTGAAGTTCGGGAGGTCGACCAAGCAAATTGCGTTGGTTGTTGTGGAGAGAAATTCGCTTGGATGCACGGGCCACCAAGGGGCTGGTCGCAAGCGTTGCTGCATTGGGGTTGGTGGGGTGGCGACGAGTGTGGCGTTTAACACATGTGAGGCGAGGATCAGTGGTGCTGCCTACTACCAGATTCCTACTTAAGGCTCGCAAATCTCCTGCTATATTATCTTTACTAATTTCAGTCAATTGTGAAGTAACACTCTCTGAAAGCTATCGTCACTACCGACCTCCAACATGCCCACTCCCATCGACCGCGCAGTGCAACAACGTGTGAGTTACTCATGGCTATCCTGGCGTCTACTTTACATAGTGGGCCTTCACTGCACCAATCTTATTGTATGCTAAAACTTTCCAGGGACCGTTCTTCGCATTCGCCGCTATAGTTGCAGGCGTTGCAGCATGGAGTATCTGGGGTCAGGATATCTTTCCCAGTCAAGATCCTACTGGTGGTACGTCATCCTCAATGTGGAAGAGATGCATGGATCTGGCAAGGAGTTGGACTAACTTAGACTGCAGATCCAGAAACATGGACCCATGACCAATGCGTTACCTGGCTTCAGCATGTAAGTACTTGCCACTTGTTTTTAGAGAACGCTACTATTGTCACAAAACATCGCTTTGCTTCAAGGTTGCATTCGGCGAGTCACTAGATTCTGGCTAATAATATCGTAGCGAAATCTACATCCCTCTCCCCTAGCGACAACTGCAGAACTGCTGGAGCGGATCAAGGCCAACATGAGGGTGTCTAGAGAGCGAGCATCCGATCAATGAGTGTACAGAGACACTGTGTTGTCTTGTGAGAGCTCTTCCAGACTGTTTTCCGTTTCAAATTGAACCGTAGTGGGTGTACGACTTGATCAATGTCTGGAGCTCACCAATTCCTTGCTTTTTATTGCGGCTGAAATTAGCTTCAAAACTATCGGTTTGTTTCAATATATCTCGAGCTAGCCATCGATCCCAAACATGTGCAATGGCCTCAACGGCCTCGGTTGCCCAGGCCTGTAAGGAAATCCACCGCCCATTCCCTATCATGATACCACTCAAGATGCTGGCTTTTGCTTAAATCCCTGTTCAAATCCCTAAACTGACCTGCCACATTTCAAGCCCAATCAAGATATCTTTGCTTTCCCCATATCACAAAGAGAGTTCTAGGCATCATCTTGGCCATCTTCGAACTCCTGTAGCACTTTCTCAAAGTGGCTGCGACGCTCCACTACTTCTTTGAGTGCTGTCTCCTCCTCCGTTATCGCCTGGTCAATGCGTTCGAGCTCCTCCATCATACGCTGTTCGTAGGGCTCTATCTTTCTCTGGATAGTAGCTAAGGTTTCAGCTTCTTGACGGTGGTTCTTGTGCAACTCTGCAAGCTTCTTGCGGCGTTCGGCAAGTTGACTTTTAAGAGAGTTGGCGTTCAAGGAAGGTGAGGGCGGGAGGACCTTTGGGCGTTTTGCTTCGGGAAGTGTCTCGTTGATAGTGGCGGAGGGACGTTTGTCTCCAGGCTTGCTGGCTGTAGAGATGGTACGTTCAACAACCGAGGTCATTGTTGCTACTGTCTGATCTGCTAGTGGCTCCGGCTTTGTCTTTATAGGGGTGGATGCCTATCAGTAGACGTTAGTAAGATGGGACTCGCTTGCTAGCGCTCCGATGTCTGGGAACACAATCTCTCTCACCTTTGAAAAGGGTCCTTCACTTGTAGCTGGAGTGCGAGGGTGACACTTTGTTTCTGCAACAAGTGGAGGCACAGGCTCCAAAAAAGATAGAACCTGAGCACTGGTTGGTTTCTTGGGGTCGTATACCACAGCTATATCAGACTTTTCGAGTGCTTCTATAGCATGTTCTTAGTAACAGTTCTCCTAGGTAATAAGTGCTCATAGATACCTTTACTACGGTAGTGAAACCGGAATATTGCCCAAGGCTCTTCGCCCGGCCGTGATGAAATCATCTTGTTGTAGTAACTGGCTACTGCTTGTTCGCTGATAGGAGCAGAATCTCTCACTATTTCGAGTCGAGATGTGGGTGCAATCTGCCTGTAGCTTACAATCTGATTGGTCTTCTCATTGCCCTTTTTGGAATTGCCGAGCTTCTGGTTGTCCTCATTGTCGGAAGTCTCACTGCCCTCACTATTGGACGTGTCGTTGTCCTCATTGCCTGGCTTCTGGTTATCCTTGGTGTAATACTGCTTAATACCCTTGACTTCATGAGAGACGCTCATTCTACGCGTGCAGCAGAGTCGAAGCTCCATAGTGCCAATAGTCTCTGGCGAATCCGATTGAGTCGTGGGCATGTCCAAAGTAGACACCACCATCTGGGAATCAATAAATCCGTCCTCGGTCTTGAATAGAAACTTGTCGATCTCGATCTTTTTACCCTTTTGGAATCGTACAGCCCTAGCACCATAGAAGTAGCATTTGCGGTGTATTCCATCCATGAATGCGTCGCACACGATATCCAGTGTCTGCTCAGTTGTGAGAAGGGATCAAGGATGAAGGCCTGATAAGGTACTTACAGTTCCGTTGAATTTTCCATTGAACTTTGGCTTCTGTCCTTCCTCTAAAGGAATATAAGAACATACTGCATGGTCAACCGGATCAACGTATTCTCCATATTCGGGCAGAGGATCGGCATTGCCTTCGATGCAAACACGCATCTCTACACTCCGATCAGAACCCTCTTCTTTGACCTTCATTGTGGATAGGGTGTGTGCTATCGCGATATAGTGTTCCGGTGGTTCTCCTTGTCAGTGGGTCATTAGATGAGGGTGTCAAAAGTGGGGTCAAAAGCAGGATAGAGGTTGGTAATGGTGAAGCCGAAAACAACTATAAGTAAGTGGATAGCTAGGTAAGGCAAGAGCCTCTGAGTCGGGTCATGTCATAGTGAATGGGTGCAGATAGTGCCAAGCCACGCATCGTACTATAGAGGACACGAGTACATCCACCTTCACCTGTACCCGAAAATTCTTATCTTATACTCTCGACTTGGACGGTAGTTTTTGCCCATGGGTTACTAGTAACCCTGTGCACTGGCATAATAAGAGTCTTGCAATAGTAACAAGAGACGAGAAGAAACATGCGGGCAATTGATTGTTGTAAGAAATTGGAATTCGCCGCAAAAACCTCAAAGCAACAACTTGGGACATTTCGAGTTTGGTATAGAGTCGATATAATTATCGGCTGTACTCTGGCATGAATGGACATGGTCGCGTGCGAGGCGAGGACTGTACCACGCTATCACATGCGAAGAGGTTTGCGCGCCCAAAAGTGGGTGACGAAGAGACTCGAGCAGCCAGAGCAGCAAATGCGGTGCTGCAACTTGTTCCATGACGAAAAAGAATCGCGAAAGACTCGAGCAGCAATGGGAGAACGAGGAGCGCCAGGGCCGGAGATATTTGAGACAGCGAGCCGCGGGTTTGAACGGATGCGGTCATTCGCCAAGCGCGGTTTCTTCCTTCGGTTCGGGATGCTTTTTCGGCGAGCGGCAGCTCCAGCCTGTTTCTCTCTACCTCAAATCCCTCACCACCAGCCCTACGCCGCAACTTCACCATGCTGTCGAGGACTTCGCAACGAACAGCGCAGGTACGAGCCCGGCTCTACACGCCCAATTGGGTGTTTTTTGGGTGCGAGGCGACGTCAGTACTAATGCGCTCGTATAGACGCTCCTGCGGGGCGCGAAGCCTGCCTCACGATGGGCGCCCGCCATGGCTACTCGATGTATGAAGCACCCGCCTAGCAGACAGCCAGCATGGAGATTCTGACGCAGTGATAGCAATGGCCACGGTCGGCCAGGACATCTTCAAGCCCACCAAGTTCGGCGGCAAATACACCGTCACCTTGATCCCTGGTACGCGCGATAGCCGCACATGAAACTAGCAAAAAAAGACGTGATATTGAACATGCGCAGGTGATGGTATCGGTGCTGAGGTCTCCGAGTCGGTCAAGGAGATCTTCAAGGCGGACAACGTGCCCATTGAGTGGGAGCAGGTCGACGTCTCTGGTGTCGACTCTGGTAACGTCCACTCTGAGGAGCTCCTCCGCGAGTCGATTGCATCGCTCAAGCGCAACAAGCTTGGTCTCAAGGGTATCCTCCACACTCCCGTCGAGCGCTCCGGCCACCGCTCCTTCAACGTCGCTCTCCGCCAGGAGCTCGACATCTATGCCTCCATTGTCCTCCTCAAGAACATCCCTGGCTACGAGACGCGCCACAAGGATATCGACTTCTGCATCATCCGTGAGAACACCGAGGGCGAGTACTCTGGTCTCGAGCACCAGTCCGTCTCGGGCGTCGTCGAGTCGCTCAAGATCATCACCCGCGAGAAGTCTGAGCGCATTGCCAAGTTCGCCTTTGCCTTTGCCCTTGCCAACAACCGCAAGAAGGTCACCTGCATCCACAAGGCCAACATCATGAAGCTTGCCGATGGTCTGTTCCGCAACACCGTCAAGAGGGTTGGTGAGGACTACCCCACGCTCGAGACCAACGACATGATTGTCGACAACGCCTCCATGCAGTGCGTCTCGAGGCCTCAACAATTCGATGTTATGGTGATGCCAAACTTGTACGGAGGTATCCTGTCCAACATTGGTGCTGGTCTTGTCGGTGGCCCCGGTATCGTCCCTGGCTGCAACATGGGCCGCAACGTCGCCGTCTTCGAGCCCGGTTGCCGTCACGTCGGTCTCGACATCAAGGGCAAGGACCAGGCTAACCCTACTGCTTTGATCCTGTCCGCCGCCATGATGCTGCGCCACATTGGTCTTGATGACCACGCCAACCGCATCTCGCAGTCCGTCTACAAGGTCATTGCTGATGGGTGAGTTATCTGAACAAAACACAAAAAGAGCATTGAAACTGACAATCATTAGTACTGCCCGCACAAGGGATATGGGCGGCAACACCACCACCCACGAGTTCACTCGCGCCGTCCTGAACCAGATGGAGAAGGCTTAAATTGACTACCACATCCTTGATGTTTGCCAAGTTTTGAGCTAGCGCGATGATACAGTCATATCTAGACCTCGGCTTATGTTGGCTTGAAGCTGGCAATGCCATTGGTTACAGAAGAAACATATTTCATTGACGATTAGACGCGATGGGACCTGTACAACTGCAAGCCGAAATGTGCATAGAGCTGTACTTGTAGGTGGTATATAGCATGCTACATGATTCAATTGACCATTCTTATACCCTTGTGAACGAAATGCAGAAAAAACCCTCAGACCCTAAACTCCGTGCTATGCATGACCTCGTGATGTCGTGGGTATCTAGAATTGGATTCTCCTCTTTCTGCCAGTGTACTTGGACGAGGACTTGACCACCTTGCCTTGCTTTTCCATCTTTTCCTTTTTCTTCATGATGTAGGCCTTGCTGCCCTTTCTCTCCTCGCCCCTCTTCATGCCCTTTGCTTTTCTTCGTGCATCTTCAACATCGACGCCCTCCATGCCCCTCACTACACCCGTGATGTCGCCGTCGGTAGCTCCTCCGCCGACTGTCAGCACGAGGTATGTCTTTGCGTTCTTAGTGCCCATGTCGTCCTCCAGCAGACCTGCACCAAAGCCCGCTTTGATGGCCGCCTGGGCCACCATTTTCTTCTGGGTATCGTTCTTGGGATAGAACTGGCAGACTGCTCTGCCGCCCCTCTTCAAAGAAGCATACAGCTGGTTGAAGAATCTCGATAGTCTTCCTGTGGGGCTCTCTTCACTCGTCTCGGCATTGCATAGCCATTGTACTGCACTGATGCTGATTGCTGCATCAAAGGTTCCCGGCCGGAAGGGCACACCCTGCCCCGCATCCGCCAGCAGCAAGTCACCCTCGACCTCCTTCTCTAAGGCCACACCCAGCATTGATGCGCTGATATCGTAGCCGATCCATACATGGGGGCCTCCTGGTGTTCCTTGCTCGGCCGTTTGCGACAAGATTTCGCCCGAGAGACCAGAACCACAGCCGACGTCGAGAATCATCGAAGGCGAGGATAGCGCGAGGAGGGACAGGGCGCGGTGGGTCATTGTGGATTGAATCTTCTGGATTCGCGACGAGGTTGTGTACTTGCGCGATTCGATGTCATTATAAAAGAGGTCGGGCGGTCTACAGGATTTCTGTTAATTGTGCGTCGCATGGCTGAGCTTTTGCGTGGGAAAGCGTACAGAATATCTTCGGGGCGCGACATGATTGCGGATTTTCTGGCTCAGAAACAGCCTGTGGCGAGCGATTAATTCAGATTTTCGATAATTCCGGGCTATGCGACGGTATACAAGACTGCGCAGAGCCAGAGGGGAGGAATCGTGAGTTATCGCGGAATGCAAAAGCCAAGAGTTCGACAACTTTTTGGTGTTCAACCCCCACACTTCGGCGCGGATCCTCGGCTTTCTCCGCTAGCCCTTGATGCCACCTTTGGACTGACCTCATCGTGCGGCTGCCTTACTTCCCGATCTTTTCAATACTCCAGATACTTTTCCAGAGGCCGCCTTTTACCATGTGGATATTACCGTTGCTTGGATATGTTGGCCTCATATTGGGGTTTGCCTTCTTGACGCTGGCAATAGGTACTTGATTCCACCATCAAGAGCCGATTGGTGGCGCTACGTACGAATATGAGAGCTAATGATTCAATGTAGCTTCTGGGCTTTACTACCTTTCCGAGCTCGTGGAAGAGCATACTGTACTGGCAAAGAAACTTCTATATCGTCTCATCTATGGAGTTGTTGGCGTTCAGTTTCTCCTACTTGTCGTCGACAAGTTCCCCGTCGGGCTAAGTCTGTTGAGCATTGTGTCGCACGGCATATATGCCCAGAACCTTAGACGCTTCCCAGTCGTCAAGCTCACCGACCCGTTATTCTTACTGTCCTGCGGTATGCGAAATTCCATACAAAGAACTGCATTAGACATCAAGCTGACTGACTCTAGCGCTCGTCATTGTAAATCATTACCTTTGGTTCCGTCATTTCAGTGCTCCGCCTGCCAACTCCTATTCTTCATATCCTTACGCACGCGACACGAATATTCCTACATTTACCGAGATCGCTGCATACTTTGGGCTATGCGTCTGGCTCGTTCCCTTCGCTCTTTTCGTTTCCCTATCTGCTGGCGAGAACGTTTTGCCCTCAATGGGCTCCGAGTACGCGACCGGCGATGGAAGCAGTTATATCAACCCAGGAAAAGCGCCCGATTCGTATGGAAGTGGTTCGGGCGTTGGAGTGAGTGGAATGCAGGGAAAGAGACGGGCGAGGAGTGGGACGAATGCGGGAATGGCAAAAGCCGTTGTCACTGGTGTCAAGGAGTGGGTTGGGGAAACTGGAGAAGTCATGGGATTTTGGAAGGGCGAGAGAACGAGACCCACTTTCTAAGAGCCTGGCCTCGTTTGCGGTGTATGAATGTACGAGTAATGTATGTATGTTATGATGCATAAGTCCCTGTTAGGCGGGCTATTCCTATACTTACCTCTCTTACATATAATCGCGAGAAGTGGATTGGACATCTAGACCCCTATACGGCTAGAACTCTACACAATGTAAAATTTGAATTCTTTGTCTGTTGTTTACCTCATGTTCTATCTATGCGTAGAGAGAAGACACCTAAACACGTCACGTGAAAGTCCCTGGCCCTCCAGCCTTCTCATCTCTTGTCAAAGAGAGATCCCTTCTTGTCACTTCTAACATAGTAGTCACGTAATAGGTAGAGTTGGTTATGGTTTTAGCCCTGTAAGCGGCTCGCTATACTCTGAATTTAGTAAAGATGTCTATAGCAATTATTCCTCTTGGAATGCCCGTCAAATCAAGAGAATATGTCTCTGATATCTTCCACAACAAGGTCGGGCGCGCTCTCTGCTGGAAAGTGCGCTCCCCTATCATGCCGCGCAAAATACGTCACGCTCGCTGTACGTTCGACCCATTCGCGGAGCTTTGAAAAAAAATAGAGATAGAGAGGGGAGATAGAAATTACCGCATAGTTTAGACTCGCTAGTACGGGATAATGATTGCTCCCACCAAATTGCAAAACACTCGTCGGCACAGTCTTATTCTGGGCAGGTACAAAATTTGGGCCCTTGAACATTCCCTTGTATGCACGAATGTTTCTGTACAATCCCGGAATATAAAGCATCAGTGTTCGTGTTATGATTTCTGTCTCGGTACAGTTCTGATCGCCGATCTGGTACAGGATTTGATAGATCCATGACATGGCTCCAACCGGACTGTCGGTCAGCGCATGCGCAAGAGCCAAGGGGAGTGTCAACTGCATCCGGGAGTAGCCAGAATACTCTTTGGCGTAAGCAGTGATTGAAGTGCTAAACGCAGTTTCTTCCGCCGTTGTTGCATGAGGCTGGCGAATACGGCAGCGTGTGCAGAGGCGTCGAAACCAGGTGCCGTGGGTGCAGGAGAGAAGCCAAAGCCTGGGAGATCGGGGGCGACAATGTGTAAAGCAGGGAAACTTTCGTTTGGGGGATTTGGGAGGTTGGGGATGACCTTTTCCCATTCTAGGCTTGTAGATGGCCAGCCGTGAAACATGTGCAGAGGGATGACGTTGTCCCTTTCACTGCGCCGATGGATGAAATGGATGTCTTGCGAGTGATTGTACTTGGTACTAACTTGGGGAATTGTAATCGTGAAATGTGGGAAATTCGAATTGATACGATCTTGTTCTGCAAACCAGTCGTAGTCCTCTGCCCAGTATTTGGCAAGTGGAACTATACAATACACATAGACAAAGTTATTAAGCAATACACAAGCTACAATTCTAATTGAATTATACCACGATTGTCGCAGTATTTATAGTATGCTAGCTATCTGAAAGAAGTATAGATTAGTTGTTGAAATTCAGGGTTGTTATGAGAAAGGGATGCCAAACTCCGTTAAAAATCGTCCAGAAGCTGAGGTATAAGAAATCGTGCTAGCTTGTTAGTAAAACGAGATAGTTTTCCATCTTACTCGGTATTATATATCTATGTTTCCTATACAGGGCTTTGCTTGTGGAGACCTTGGAGCCAAGAATCGGACCCGAACATGTCACGTGCACGGGTCTTAGTATGCATCGCCTTTGTATTCTGCCAGCGGTGCGCTGTTGCTATCACAATGCTTTGCTCAAGGTTCGTCTCGTATAAAACGATATCAGAGAATTATCACTGCAGGTGGATATTGTATGCTACATAGTTTACATAATGCACTCCTGTTCAACCACTGGCCTTATGTAACCGTGCAAACTCATACAACTACTACCTTTCTTGCACCACCCTTGACCAAGGACCGATGCGCCAAGACTATGGGTTAGTATTCGCAGCTGTCTCATAGCGCAGGGCAAGTAGTTGCATTTCAAGGGATTGCAACTATATCATAGTAGAGTCCCATATGTCACATACCATTCGCTGTACAGTGTATTATTTTGCAACATAGTGTTAGTAGATGATTCTCAACCTTGCTACTGTTATGCGATTCGGGCGAGGCCACAGCGATGGCGGAGAGAAGTAGGTGCGACATGCAATTGAGGATGCTCGTGTGTCTGTAAGTAGACGGGGCGTTGTGGAGCCGAAACTCGCCTGCGACTGCCGACCCAATGTCCGCTTTCGTCTTTTTCCGTCAATATACCACCAGCGCACATACTACAACCATTACACTAATAACTTGATTGCTAGCCTCAACATCACTAACCAGCATTACAGTCGCTTTGGCACCATCCGCTTGCGCTTCCGGTCGCCGGCATCATGGCGTGCAACAGCTGGGATAAATTGTGTAAGGCGCAGCGCGACTACCCAAAAGCCAAGTTTGCAGACTCGTTTGTTCAAAAGTCCCTTAAGAAAAGCCCCAAGAACCCGTTTCTGCTGGTAGGCAAATTCATCAACGCAATAGCGTCATTAACAGCTGATCTATTGCTAGGCTTGGAAAGCGGACATCTCACTGCAACTCACCCAAGATCCAAAGAATGTGGTTCTCCAAATACAGCAGGCATGGCAGCAGCCTGGACCCTACGATATCCGGCTCCTAGCATATCTCTACAGACTATTTGCCGAGGCGATGCGACGAAGCAGCACTGCCAACTCTTGCATCAGTGGGCTCGGCAATGAGAACTCCAAGGTTTGGCTTAGCGCTTCGAAAACACTGAGCCCTCAGGAACGGCAAGAGTTATGGTCTACGCTTGGCAAAGCTGCATGGCGCGAAGAATGCTGGGAAGACTTTCGCTTCGTATGACGGCGCTTCTCGGTTGATCATCATAAATTGCTAACAGTCTTTAGGCTGTCGTTCAATACACCAAGGAGCTCAAAGACATCTCCGCATCTGCACCAATGAAGAAGCATGCCCACTTCACACAAATACTCGCAACACAACTTGCAGCCGAGCAACAGCTCCAGATACCCGGCGCTGACCTCAAGTCCAAGATACAATTTGACCTAGCACGTAGGCTAATGAAACAAGCATACGAAGCGTCTCCAGTCAGTAACACTCGCTATAAGAAAGCACAACATGCTGATCTGCTCTAGGACGAGCCAATTGCGTGTAAAGACATCCGGGATCTACGCTTCATGGGTGAGATTTTCGCGCGACAAGGTAAATGTGATGAGCTCATAGAGCTCTGGAACAACCCACCTACTACTTTGAAAGATCTCATGACGACGCACAAAGCCGACTTACAGATCATGAGAATCAGACTCTCAAGGGAGACCAACAATTGGTCTCTTGTTGAGAGCGAATCACTGGCTAGGATTGAAAATGCGATATCACAAATGATCGAGAATCCAGACTCCAAGGCGCTGTGGGAACTCTGTGCTTGGAACATGGATTTATGGACAGATTGGCTAGCAGCAGTTCGAATAAATCGGTCCAGAGATGAGTAAGTTTCTTTTTGTGCTATTTTTGCTCTAACTTATTTGATCTTCTAGGGCTGTCCGCATTGTTTCTGATATCCTACACCGTGCCTTTGGAACAGAACTACGAACCAACGATCGTGCGATGAGTTTGACATACATGAAACTCCGTCATTTCGTCGGAGTCCCAATAGCAGACGACTGCTTGACGTATTGGAAGAACCACTCGACACTCATCAGCTGTTTCGCAGACATGCGCCCATTTTTGGAAACATTGCATAGCGGCAATGGTCTTGGAGGTAAACTGCATTTTTTCCGAACCTTGACGACAGACGCATCGTCGCAAACGGTATGTTTTCTGATTCTTCTGTTTTTTG